GCCTGGCTTACTTCACTTAATATAATTTTTTCCAAGTTTTTCCATTTCCTAACAAATGGGGCAATGTCATTCTTTCTGATGGAGGCATAGAATTCCGTTTTTATAAAAGGGGAAAAACCATCATGGATTCCTTACATGCATATAATTTACAATTTGTAAATTAAAAATAAATAAAAAGAGAAAACATTACTATACTTTTTGTGTGGATGCCAGTCCTGAGGATTGAACTCAGGACTTGGGTGCTATCTCTGAGCCCATTTCGCTCAATGCTGATGTTCTACCACGTAAGCTACACCTCCACTTTTAGCTTTTTAGTAGTTAATTGGAGAAAACAGTCTCACCTGCTTTCCTTCCCTGGCTAACTTTGAACCATAATCCTCAGATCTCAGCCTCCTGAGCAGCTATAATTACAAGTGTGAGGTAATAGGCACTTAGAAAAATTTTCTTCTTTATAATTAGTTCCTTGAAGTGTAACTTCAATTGTTAATTTGCATTTTCCTTTCTTTTCACATGTGTATATGTTCATAAACTTCTCTCTTACCATTGTTTTTGTTACATCTCGTAAGTTTTAATATATTGTGTTTTGTTTTTTTTTTTTGGTCTCAGGGTATTTTCTAATTCCTCTTGTGTCTTCTTAGATTCATTGGTTGTTTAATAGTGTGCTGTTTAATTTCCCTGTATTTGTAAATTTTACAGTTTCACATCTGCTGTTAATTTCTACTTTCATTCCATTGACAGTTTACAAAAACCCAAACAAACAAACAAAAACCTTTTTTTCTGTGTACATGTGCCAGTACTAGGGTTTGAATTCAGGGCCTTGAGCTCTCACTCATATTTCTTGCTCATAGCTGGCACTCTACCATTTGAGCCATGACTTCAGTACAGCAATTTACTTGTTAATTGGAGACAAATTGCCACTGACTTTTCTTTCTAGGTTGGCTTCAAACCACAACCTTGACATCTCAGCCTCTGAGTGCCTATGATTACAGTGTAAGCCATCAGTGCCTGGCTTGAAATGTACTTTTCTTTTTAAATAGTTGCAGTCTTTAAAATATGTTGACATTTTCTTTGTCATATAGCATGTATATTGTGGACAAAATGCCATGATTATTTGAGAAAAATATACTTTTTGGTTTTGTTACTGGAGTATTCTTTATTTTTCTATTGGCTGGAATGGTTTCTGTCTACTATGGAAAATTTTGGTATTTAAATTTTCTACTGTTATTATTTCCTTATTTTTCCTTCAACTATGTAGAAGTTTGCTTAATGCATTTATGAGTATCCTTAGATCTACAGTGAGTTTCTCATAGACAATATAATTGGAAACTGTTTTTAATAGTTAATTCAGCCAAAGTTTTTTATTGTGACATTTAATCCACTTAAATCTAAAGTCATTATTAACACAGAAGGATTTGCTATAGCTAATTTATATATCTTTGTGTTGGTTTTACAGCTCCTTGTTCCTCTTTTGCTCTCTTCTTGAATTCTTTTGCATTTTATTGATAGTTTATATAATAATATGCTCTCATTCCCTTCTCATTTCTATAATTTCTTTGTAGCTACCATTACAATGGCATATAATTTCTTGAAGTTATAACATATTTTATATTGATAACAACTTAATATCCATCATATTAAAAAGTTCTTAGAGTCTAACTATGCAGCCCAAGACTACCTCAAATTTACCGTGTAATCCAGTTGACCTCAAATTCAATATTCTATCATCTCAGCTTCTCAAGCAAACACACCACACCATTTCATTTATATGCTACAAGTTGCTTTTGTACTGAAATTATATTCATAGGGATTTCTATATTTGCCTGTGTTAACATTTACCAGAGAACATCATATTGGATGTAATTTAATATTAAAATAAAATCAAATATACTTTATCAGCTTTTCCCTATTAGGTATTATTATATCTCAACTTAGATCATATATCTTATATTCACTTGGATGACAATATATTCATGATCTTTTAAACTCAGGGTAAGTTTACTCATCGATTTATTGTTTTCAAATTATTTCATTTCCTTCACTTTCAAATAGAAAATATCTAAGATAAATCAATTTTGAATTTTGTTTTCCAGATATATTTATTTCACTTAAATAATGCAATAAAAATTATTTGCGATACTTATTTTTAAGAGTAAAAACGATGGACTGGGCACTGTCCCCGAGCTTTTGTATTTAAGGCCACCACTCTACCATTTGAGCCTCAGCTCCACTTCTGGCATTTTTAGTGGTCAGTTGAACATGACAGTCTCGTGATCTTTCCTGCCTGAGCTAGCTTTGAACCTTGAAGCTGAGATCTCAGCCTCTTGATTTGCTAGGATTACAGGAGTGAACCATCAGTACAGGGAATTTTTTTTTGAAGACACATAAAATTACTGGAAGGGTACAATAAATTTCTAAGTTCTTATTTTATGTTTTACTACAGTAACATGACTATTTCAAGATGATTCTAGAAAAATTCATTATCAAATAATTTTAACATTTTTGTTATTAGAGAAAATATTTTTGATAGAAGAAATAACAAATATTGATTCATTGAGTCTATCACAGTTTGGCTTTTGGCTTACTGACCATGGACTTGATCTACTTGCTTTGAAAGTTAGGGAGAAAGACAATTCTGTTAGTTGTCTGGCTATACCACTTTTGCTCTAAAACACTGATACTGTTTTTCTGTTGTTTAGTATAGACACACTGCTCAAGATCATTTCTCTGATTGACATGTTTAATGTAATGACTCATTGTAACTATGGCTTATTTTAAAAGTCTTGAATGGACTTCTCTGGTTCAAGGTACCTTGCCTTCTTTGTAAAGGCAAGAGAAGAAATATAACCATCCTTAAATCCTACCATATACGCCAACTTGCCAATATTACTGCTGGTTCTGGGACTGTAATTCAGGGTCTGGGTACTATCCTTGAACATTTTTCTCAATGCTAGCCCTCTTCCATTTGAGCCCCAGCTCCACTTCTGGCTTTTTGGTGGTTACTTGGAGGTAAGAGTCCTGTGGACTTTCATGTCCAGGCTGGCTTGGAACCATGATCCTTAGGTATCCTGAGTAGCTAAAATTACAGGTGTGAGCCATAGGTGCCTAGCTCTCTTACTCTTTTTTAAAAAACAAACTTTTGTTTTATGTTCTGTTCATGATCCTGTCTCTTCATGCCTCACTTGGTTTCAGGAGCTATTTCCTTAATACTGTATTCTTTTTTTTTTTTTTTTTTGGTCGGTCGTGGGACTTGAACTCTGGGCCTGGGCACTGTCCCTCAGCTCTTCAGCTCAAGGCAAGCGCTCTACCACTTGAGCTACAGC